CACAAATCTGGACAGTTCTGTACCCCTGACAGGAAGCGGGATAATTTCTGATGTTCCACGAATTTGTCCTTTTCCGAGAAAACTGGGTCAGCCAATATGTCAAGTCACTTTCACTAAAAGAACAGACCACACACAGATCCCAGCTGTTGGGTTTTGTGATCTTGTTTTTGATTTAGGGTCCCGAGCCAGAAGTCAAAGATGTCAACTGTCCATTGAAAACCTGAAGGAGAGGAGGGAGGGAGGGAGGGAGGAAGGCAAGTGAACATGAGAGGGGAAGAAAGACGAAATGGGGCAATACGAGAGGACAGTTTTAAGAGCACCCGTCATATTCTGAATGTGAGTTGTTAAGGTTGTATTTTTTGGCAGCAGCACATGTGGTCCATATTCTGAAAAACAACATAAATCCTGAGGAGGAGGAACACCTGACAAGTGTGACAAGAGGTGAGTGATAAACTGCCAAAGGAGAGACAATGTCACCACCCTTAATTTACAGTGGGGTCACCTGAAATATCCAGTTTCCACAAAGCTTGACGTGTGAAGATGTGTGACTAACGTCTCTCATCGCCTTTTAGTACATGACTAACATGCAATGACGCTCTTTCAGTGAGAACTCAGCATCAGCTGCTTTATTTGATACTAAATCTGTGCTGAATTTGCACATTTTGCTGAAGTTATCACTGGAGGGATGATAAGTCGAGCTTTCCACGTTTAAAAGTCATATTTTTTTCATACTGTGCATCCTCATACACACCAAGTAGATGCAGTTTGAGCACTGTCAGTCTGTCAGTCATGAAATGTCCCAACAACTGGAGGACACTCCCATAAGCTCAGCTAATTAGCAAATGTTTGCATGCTAACATGCAAGATGATACAAATGGTAAACATCATAACCTTCAAAGCATCACAATATTATTATATATATATATATATATATATATTAGCATGTTAGCTTGTTGATTGTAGGAGCCATATAAGTTGCTGTACGGATTTTAGCAGATTTCAGCTTGAAGCATAATGCTTATGTAGCCTCTAGACTTTGAGATTTCACCTATTTTTTTTCTGTTGCTTATTACAGGAGCGATGTTGCCCTCTGTAATGTGTGACCAGGTTTGTTTATCTGTTGTTTTCTAGGCTGAGATGGATAATCAACCAGGCCTCCTGCACACAGGTCCAGGGGTCCCAAAGACACAGACTCTGTATAAAGTTAACTTTTCTAACTGGAAAGTCAAAGAGCTCGGTCAAAAGCTTAGATGGCTCGATGGTGTGTTTTAAGTGATTTAATATTCAGTATTTATCTATATATATATATAGTAGTATAGTATAGTCAATATATATAGCTGCACAGTGTACAGACCTAGTCTGAGGATCAGATCAAGATTTTCCCAGGTATTGTTTCTAAGCGCTGTTGTCCCTTAAATGACCACTAGAGGATGTGTTGTTGTAGCATCTGAAAACCTACATTTGTCATTCATTGACAGGTAATCTCTTATCTTATTTTACCCCACAACAGTATTGCACAGTTTCTAATATTGCACAAGTGAGGTCAGTTGGTTTTACTTTGAGGTAATTTTTGAAAATTCAACAATTTTGTACTGCCATTATTCAAAATAATCATTTTCATTCAATCATATTGTGGTTGTCAATATTTACAGTACTGTGTTACACCCTCTAAATGATTGGCAGCCAAATATGTTCAGTACATAAACTGCCTGGCCTGGTGTCAGTGCACCGTAAAAACATCTTAATTATAATAAATGTTTAAAGCAAATAGGTATTTAGATTAGTGTGATAATCTGCTACCCTGGATACCCATAAAAAAGAAGGTTTGCCACTCAGGTAAAAACACAGTTATCTCCAAACCACACAATATAATAAATGTGGCAGGACGGTTTTAATAATCTGGGAAACTTGTAAACACAGTTTTCCAAGTCATGAAAAAAGAAAACCGAAATGAACATGTCAATACCAGTGATCTTATCTAAAGCAGCTGCAACAACAAACAGCCAACTGCTGAACTAAATTAAATTATAATTGACTTGCACATCCATTATTCTAATATACAGATATACATTTAAAGTCCAGGTTGTTGCAACACACACAAACTGACGCTCAAACACATTATTTACAGGGATACCTGGGCAGCGCTCCATGCTTTGTTATCCAAAATTAGGCCCACAAAATGAGTTGTAGTACACAAAGTTGGAGACACGCTGTATTAAAAACATACTTCTGCACTTTTTTTTTTAACTTAAAACACTGCTTGTAAAAGTTTTCTTTGAAAAGAAAACCATAAATTCCTATTAAATCCTAAATTATTGATGATCCCTGTGAACAGTTGATGTAATGAAACAATCCTGACATTATGAAGGAATTATATTCAGGACTTTAACTCAAAGTGTTCCTACAGGTATGGGCTCTTTGGTAAACATCTGACTTTGGTTACAGCTGCCAAGGGAAGGCATGTCTGCTGGTAATAGGCTGAGTCAACTGTTAAAATCACTACAGAACATCCCTGAGGCAACAGCCAGACACACAAACAACTTTGTGTTTTGAAATGAACATACTCAGCTTGTAGACTCATAGCTCTTTATATTACAACAGTGGTATATTTCCTGTAAAACAGATCATGCATTTCATGTCTAATGTTAATGGATGAATGAAATAAGCAATTTGACCAAAATAACCGGTAAAACTACGGTTCCTGAGGTCAAAAGTTAACTTTTCGCTCCAAAAAAGTTTTAATAATATAAATATTTTTCATAATTAAATAAGTTTCTGACCAGTGAAACAGCATTTTATTATATAAATAATAATAAATAAATAAATATATAATATATAAAAATAACAACACAAAATTCAGTCCGTATCATGTATTTGTCTACTGGAGCTGAGATTTTATCACAGAATTTAGTCAAATACATCTGTAAAAAAAAGATATTTTAGGAGAAATTGACCTAATTTTGTTTAACTGTGTGTGTGTGTGTGTGTGTGCTGATTGCGTGCTTATATATTTTTATTATGTTTTGTAATTGTCTGAAATTTAACACATATTTTGCATTAAGAATCAGTAACATAAAGAATCCACCAGGGGTCAGTGTTTAATTAGCTATTGTCATATCAGGGCTTCTGTTTATCTTACATCTAAAATTAAAGTAGGTGTACAATGTGAACATAAAGTATATAAGAAGATACATGTCTAATGTATATGTAAGTAAAGCCAGCTACCCCCCACTCTTTTATTCAGCTGACTTTGACTCTTTGTACCAGATTCAAGTTAAAATTGCCCAATAGTGGATGGTTTCTACATGTTTAGTCATAATCACATGCCAGCTGAAGTCAGAATAATACTATTTTTATCAGTGGTGCAGGCCTGGAGAAGTGGGTATATTCTTTAATGTATGCCCCACATTCATTTAAACATCCAGTGTTATGAACAGTGACATATAAGACTACTTTTACATATTAAAAATGGGTAGTATTTGCACTTAACTCCTTCTACTTGACTTCAAGCAGCGAGGATCATTATGAAATGTGCATTTGCCACAGAAGAGGTGCAAAAAAAAAAAATAGCACATAATAATACATTTTGAGTGAATACTTGAATTAGACAACAATTATATGCCTTTCCTTCATCCTAGGACAAACATTGAGCTCACATATTAAGGGATGTGTGGGAGTGTGTATAGACCCAATGCTGGCTCAACAATATACCTGCGCACACCCTGCACGCTTTAATGTAAACACACATTATGTACCCGTGTATAGGTGTGTGTGTGTGTATATATGTGTATGTGTGTGTGTATATGTGTATGTGTGCGTATATATGTGTATGTGTGTATAGGTGTGTGTATATATATATATGTATATATGTATATATGTGTGTATGTGTATATATGTGTATATATGTGTATAATATAATATATATATGTGTATATAATAATGTGTATAATATATATATGTATATATAATAATGTATAATATATATAATAATGTGTATAATATATATATGTATATATAATAATGTATAATATATATATGTATATATAATAATGTATATAATATATATATGTATATATAATAATGTATATAATATATATATGTATATATAATAATGTATATAATATATATATGTA